TGTAAGGGGAAAGCTAACCTTCCTCCCTTTGGCACTACTTCTTTCCTCACTACAGCCTGCCCTGGGGTCCATGAGCTTGGAGCCCACCTACCCAGTCTCACCAGCTGCACGGGCCTGCTGGGCATCTGGAGCAAGCACTGGGAGGCTGGGGGATGCGCAGTGCCAGGGAATGCACAGTGGCAGGGGCCCAGTGCCCTGGCTGTTCCCAGTTGCGGGGATATGGCTCGACTTTGTGCTCTGACCAAACTCCCTAGCTTTGTCCTAACCTCCCTGCTTTTGGCTCTGGTGCTGCTCTGCAGGTCACATCCGTCTCACCTTCTTTGGCCAGTGGACAGAGGTGGAGCCCCAGTGCTGCAGCCAGGCGCGGGAAGAGCTGTACAGTGCCCCAGGTAAGGGATGCGTCTCCTGCCAGCCCGGGGAGAGGGGGCTTCTGCAGGCAGCGAGATGTGCCTGGCATGGCACAGCCACTGGTGCTCCCTGCTTCCAGCTCTAACGCCTCTCTGGCTCTTTCTGCAGAAGTGGGAGGGATCACGGAGCCCACCGAAGCAGCTGACTGCTGGAGCTTTGGCTCTCTCTTGTACGAGTTGCTGACAGGCGTGGTAAGTGGCAGAGAGGAGCTGTGCAAGGAGGGGGGAGGAGGAGGCGACACGGTAGCACAAGAGCTGCCTGCCATGCAGGTCTGGGAGGCTGCCTTGCCCTGCTGGCACCTCAGCACCGTGCCAGGTTACTTCAGGCTTGTGACTCCTAGTGCCTGTGTGTGGTCTCTGGGTATTCAGGGCCCTGGGTTTTAAATTCTGCTGTGTAGAGCTGGGGTTATGTGGTGATGAAGGCTCGGCAGGGTGCTCCTACCCTCCTCGGTGCCTCTGCTCACCATCACTCTCTGCCTCCTGCAGCCGCTGTCCCAAAACCACCCTTCAGGGATTCAACCTCACACCCAGTTGCATCTGCCAGAGGGGCTCAGCCTGGCCGCTACGTCGCTGCTCACTGAGGTGAGGGGCTTGGGTGGATGGGGCTAGAGGGTCCAGCCTGGGTAGCTTTTCCAGTGTCCCCATTGTTCCATCCCCTTTCTCTGCAGCTCCTACAGTACAACCCAAAGCGGCGTTTGGGCTTTGGAGGAGGTGGCATGGCGAAGCTGAAGTCCCACTCCTTTTTCAGCACCATCCCGTGGAACAAGCTGGTGGGCTAGGCAGGCTGTCCTTCCCGCAGAGAGCTGGGCACGGAGCCACTGTCCCTGGCACTTGTGACCACAGGTGGCACTGGCAGCTCTGCCTGCTGGGGGAGGTTTGCCTCCAAGGGCTGCCCCGGGGTGGGGTACGCATGAGGTTTTGCAGCCTTACGTGTTGTTCTGTCTCTGCTTGTGTGTGTTGGTGTCTCAGAGAGAGGAGGCTGCGGTCTGGGGGAGGCTGTCTTCTCCTCCAGGTCCTCCCTGGTGGGAAAAGGAGCCCAGGTACCTCCCCCTGGGGAGAGGACATGCTCCCCTTCTGGGGCATCCCTTGCTCAGCTTAGCACCAGGCCCTAGGACTCCCTCCCTATGGTTTTTATCTCTGCTGCTACCACAGTGACTCCCCTGTTGTGTTTTTTTTTTTGTGGCTTTCCAACGCCTTTCCCCCTGACCCTCGCCGTGTGT